AGGGATCGAACCTGTGTCTCCTGCATTGGCAGGCGAACCCAACCACTTGACCACCAGGGAAGCCCCTCTCCTTTTTATTTCTCCCTGGCAACAGTCCTCGATCCGAGGGCTCCCCCTGGGGGCCAATATGAACATGTGTGTTTTAAATGGCAGCCCCTCTGGAGGATGCCAGCTCATGATAGGCACGGGCTTAACACTGGACTTCAACTCCTACTTGTTCCCTCTTCCCCCCAGATCAGTCATAGTCAGATTGAGGCTCCCCTCCCTCTGCAGAGGAATCACGTACCCAAGTCTGGCTAATCAAACAGCTGCCTCCTTCTGGCTACTGGAATTGATTGGGGGGAGGGAGGACATGACGTAACACCAGCCAAGGCCAACTCTGGGAGCTTTATTAAATTTTAACTGAGGTGAAATTTACCTAACTTAAAACTAATCAGAAACTATACTTAAGGGTACAATTCAAAAGCAACTAGAGCCTTACCAACGTTGTGTAACCATTGCCTCTATCTAGTTTTCCAAGACATATTCTTTACCCCAAAAGGAAACCCTATACCAATGAGCACTCACTCCCCATTTCCTCCTCTCAGCCCCTGTGTGCATGTGTGCTAAGTCACTTTAGTCGTGTCCAACTCTTTGTGACCCCATAGACTGTAGCCTGTCAGGCTCTTCTGTCCATGGCATTCTCCAGGCAAGAATACTGGAGTGGGTTGCCATGCCTTCCTCTAGGGGATCTTCCCCACCCAGGGATTGAATCTGAGTCTCATGTCTCCTGCATTAGCAGGCAGGTTCTTTACCACGAGTGTCACCTGGGATGCCCCCTCTCAGCCCCTGGCAACCATTAATCTGATTGATTTTTTCCCTTGTGGATTTATCTGTTCTAGACATTTCACAACATGAAATCATAGACTATGTGCCCATTGGTGTCTGACTTTTCACTGAGTGTAATATTTTCAAGTTTCATCCATATTGTATCACGTGTCAGTGCTTCATTCCTTTTTAAGGCAGAATGATATTCCATTGTATGGATATACCACTTTTGTTTATTCATTGATTAACATTTTGGTTATTTCCACCTTTTGGCTCTTATCAATAGTGCTGTAATGCTATTTACAATATCTAGAACATGGAAGCGACCCAGAGGTCCATCAACAGATGAATGGATAAAGTTGTGGTACATATATACAAGAGAGTATTACTCAGCCATAAAAAGGGATGAATTTTAGTCAGTTCTAGTGAGGTGAGTGAACCTAGAGCCTGTTATACAGTGTGAAGTAAGTCAAAAGGAGAAATACATACTATATATTAATGCATGTATATTGGATCTAGCAAGATGGTACTGATGAACCCATTTGCAGGGCAAAATAGAGACACAGACATAGAGAACAGACGTGTGGACACAGTGGGAGAAGGAGAGGGTGGGACAAATTGAGAGAGTAGCGTGGAAACATATACATTACAATATGTAAACTAGCTAACTGGTGGGAAGTTTCTGTATAACACAGAGGCTAAACTTGATGCACTGTAACATCCTGGGGGCGTGAGATAGGGTTGGGGTGGGGGGGTTCAGAAGGGAGGGGACATATGCATACTTATGACTGATTCAAGTTGCTGTATGGCAGAAACCAATACAACATGGTAAAGGAATTACCTCCCAGCTAAATTTTTAAAAGAGAATAATATATATAAATAATATATATAACTGAATTAATTGCTATACAGCAGAAATTGACAAAACATTATAAATCAACTATACTTGAATAAAATTAATTTTTTAAAAAGAAAAAATGGTGCTGCAATGAAAATTTCTGTACAAATATTTCTTTGAATACCTGTTTTCAGTTCTTTGGTCTATATGCCTAGCAGTGGAATTGCTGGATCACATGGTGACTCTGTTTAACTTGTTAAGGAACTGATAAACTCTTTCCCACTGCTGTGGTATGATTTTACATTCCTACAAGCAACCCACAAGGGTTCCAATTTCTCCATGTTCTCATCAGCACTTACCTCCTGGCTTAAAAAAAAAAAGTATGGCCAACTGAGTGGATGTGAAATGGTATTCATGTTTTTGATTTGCATTTTCCTACTAGACTAATGATATTGAGCATCTTTTCATGTGTTCTTGGAGCTTCAGTGTATACTTCTGATCTTGGAAGGCTATAAGCCTTGCAGCCACTTCCCACCCATGAGGTACTCCAGGATAGAGAAGCTCAGCCATAGTGACATCATTTGAAGCCTGAAAGTGAAAGTGTTAGTCACTCAGTCATGTCCCACTCTTTGCGTCCCCATGGACTGTCACTGCCAGGCTCCTCTGTCCTTGGGATTCTCCAGGCAAGATTACTGGAGTGGGTTGCCATTCCCTTCTCTGGGGGAATCTTCCTGACCCCGGGATCAAACCTGGGTCTCCCTCATTGCAGGCAGATTCTTTACTGTCTGAGCCAACAGTAAAGCCTAGATCCAGCCATACCTGCAGTCTGTCTCTAACTTCAAAAGTATAAGTGCTGATTATCATTTTGTCATTCCAGCCAGCTAGAGCTGAACATTTTGTCCTTTGCCACCATTAGTCCTCCATGATGGAGACGGGGGCTTGCCAAGGCCCCACGGTGAGATAGAATTACAAACTGGATGATTCCCTGGTCCTCCTTCCTACCTACTCACTGCCTCCATGCCCCAAGAGGAGGCTATATGGAGTGGTCAGCAGGAGCCAGAATCTGGGGACAAATCATGGTCATGCATTTAGAGACAGAGACAAGGGGAGTAGGAAGTGGATGCTTTTCTATGACACCTGTGATGCCCTCTGCCCAGAAGGTCTTGCCCAGCTCTAGGTATGGCTGGCTCCCTCCTCACTGAGGGCTCAGCTGCAAAGTGCACTTCCCAACTGATCACACATATGAAAGGGCTGCTCCCCCTCCCCATGATCTTTGAGAACATCACCCTGCTTTATCTTTTTCGCAGCACCCATCTGTGACTGCAATTGCCTCTTTTATATTTATCTAAAGTGTGCCTCCTCATTAGGGCAGGTACTTTGCATGTCTTTGTTGTCTTATATGAGGATTGGTGTCAAACATATAGTAGGAACTCAGTATATAGTTGTTGTACCTGAGGACTCCTGTCAAACATATAGTAGGAATTCAGAATACAGTTGTTGAAGAGATGAATGAATGACTGAAGGAAGGGAGGAATGAACAGGTGGGGAAATAGATGAATGGAAGGGTGATTGAATGAATTGGATGGACAAGTGAAAAGATGGCTGAATATGGATGGATGGATGGATGAAGGATGGTTAACAGCTGGATACAGGAATATATGTAAGAATAATGGACGATGGAAGGATGAGTAATAAATATATGGATGGATGGATGAATAGATGGATGCACAGATGGCTGAATGAATGGATGATACATTAATAAATAAACGGTAGATAAAAAGACAGATAACAAATAAAAGAGTAAAACAATGAATGAATGAACTATTGGATGAGTAAATTAAAGGATAGATAGATGGATGGTTCAATGGAGACTTCAAAAGAACGGATGGATGTATGAATGGACAGACAAATTAAAGATGGAGTAGATGGGTGGATGTTTGCCAGACCCCATTCTAAGCACTTTACGTATGTTTTCCTGGTTTATCTATGCATAAATCTAAGGAAGGAAGGAATGCTTTACAGACAAGGTCCTTGAACTTCAGAGGTAGAGGGGGGAAAAAATCACTTCCCTCAGAAAATACAAGTAGGAAATGGTGGAGCAAGATTCAAATTTGCATCTGCCTGACTCCAAGCCCTGAGCTCTTAACCATCATGGAAACCACCCTCCTCCCTCTCTCCTCTCACTTTGAGAGCCTGTACCAGCCACCACAGGACTCCCTGGTACCAGCTGCTAAAGAGTCTGCCTGCAATGCAGGAGACTTCAGTTCAATTCCTGGGTTGGGAAGATCCCCTGGAGAAGGGATAGGCTACCTGTTCCAGTATTCATGGGCTTCCCTGGTCGCTCAGATGGCAAAGAATCCACCGGCAATGTGGGAGACCTGGGTTCAATCCCTGGGTTGGGAAGATCCCCTGGAGGAGGGCATGGCAACCCACTCCAGTATCCTTACCTGGAGATTCCCATGGACAGAGGGGCCTGGTGGATTACAGTCCATTATGTCATGAAGAGTGGGACACAGCTGAGCAACTAAGCACAGCACACAGCAACCAGCCACCGCAGCGCTTGACCTGATGCCCATGCCCTGACAGCACCCATGTCACCCAGTACAGGCCTCCATGAGGCTCCAACGCTACCAGCCCCATAAGTCCATGTGAGCACGTGAGGACCCCTGAGATCTCTGCATGCACATGAAGTCACTTCAGTCATGTTCAAACTCTTTGAGACCCCACAGACTGTAGCCTCCCAGGCTGCTCTTGTCCATGGGATTTCCTAGGCAAGAATACTGGAGTGGGTTGTCATTTCCTTCTCCAGGGGATCTTCCCGATGCAGGGGATAGAATTTGCGTCTTATATCTCCTGCGTAGGCAGGTGTGTTCTTTACCACTAGCACACATGCTTGAGTGTAAGGTGACCAGAAAACATGTCCATTCTCTAGGCTGCCTCCCAAGTATCAGTGACACTGCATAGCCAAAGACAGGTCTGAAGAGTCTTACAGTGACCACCACTGTTTATAAGATGCCCAGGGACCAAGCCCCAGCCTGAGGTCATTCCCAGTGGCTGCCACAGAAGCACAGCACTTCAGTGATTCAGCCCCACCAGGTCGTGTGAAACAGTGAACCTGGAAGAGGAAGTGAAAGAGAATGGGGGCGGGTCATGGAGGGGAGCTCCAGGGTTATCAGACCATAGCACAGAGACGTGATGAAGTCCACCCCCACCTCGGTATGGGGGCGCGGAGGACCAGGATGATGGGGAGAGGGAGCTGGAGGGCAGAACTGCGAGTGTCTCTCAGTCTCCCAATTCAGGCCGCTGTCCTCGGTGGGTACGTAGGTGTTGGGTGATCAAGAAACCCTGGCAGACCTCAGCAGCTCTTGTGGTCATCACCCATCTCCACGTAGGGCAGCCCCACGGGCCAAGTGTCCCGAGGCCAGTAGCGGACTTTGATGGTTTGGTCCGGCATCTCGTATGTGGAATCCACAATAGCCAGGATGACCATGCCATAGGGGAAGGTGAAGCTGATGAGTACATGCCTAGGTGACAAAGTGGAGAGGGGGAAAAGATGCCCCAGCAGTCAGCTTGATGGCCCCAGCCCCACCTCTCCTGACCTCTCCTGGATCCTGGCCATCGAAAGGGATCTCCTGACCACACACCCCCAAGACATACACACACATCCCAGTATCTGTGCCTGTCCCCGCTTCCCCCAGGCTCCTGCTCCAAACTCTGGCATCTGAGATTTTCTGCTTCTAGGACCCAAGTGAAAGTGTTAGTTGCTCAGTCATGTCTGACTCTGCAATGCCATGGATTGTAGCCTGCCAGGCTCCTCTATGAAATTCTCCAGGCAAGAACACTGGAATGGGTTGCCAAGTCCTTCTCTAGGGAATCTTCCTGACCCAGGGATTGAACCCAGGTCTTCCACATTGCAGGTGGATTCTTTACTGTCTGAGCCACCAGAGAAGCCCCGAGAGCCCAAGACCATAGGGTAAATGCTCACCAGATGCTGTGCAGGTAGGAGAAATTAATCCATTGCCAGAAACTGCAAAACAGGCGGTCACTGATCCAGCTAGTAAGGGCGAGAGCCCATATAACCGTGGAGACCTCAATCAGATGCCGGAGCTCCTTATTTTTGGTCCTAGGGAGGGAAGAAGGGAGATCAGAGCCTGACTCAGCTAGCAGAGCCCCAGGGGGCTGATGGGAAATTCCTCCATTCCAGGAGAGGAGGCTCGGAGGAGGGAAGGATCAAGGGGGGAAGGTAGGGGAGGGGCCAGACCCATGCTAACACATGGGGACCACTTACAAGATACTGGTTCCTCACAGCAATGCTATTGTTCCCATTTTGTGAATGAGAAAACTGAGGCATGTGAGAGTAAGTATGCCCCAGCCCCCACCCCAAGGTTACTCAGCCGGTATGTGGGGTGTGCATCAGGTTTGTCAGAATACAGAAGCCGCACCCTTCTGTGTTTGTGCTCTGGGGTGTAAGTGTATGTGCTCCTGTGGGCTGCTGCATGAGAATTTATGTCTACGTAGCTCTGAGAATACGTGTGGATGTGTGTGGGAGGGTGTCCCATGTCATGGGACAACTCAGGATTACAATATGTGTTTCCCCAACAGCAGAACTAACCCATTGTCTCTTGGGAAAGAGCTTATGAGAGATTAATGAGGCAATAACTCCTTCATGGGTAAAAGTGCAAGCCCTGCCTGCTAGCCTAAAAGGGGACAGTCTGAACACCAAAACAAAACAAAACCACAAACATAAGAATTGGTAAAATCTGAGTACAGATGGTAAAGAATCTGCCTGCCAATGCAGGAGACACAGGTTCAATCCCTGGGTTGGGAAGATTCCCTGGAGAAGGAAATGGCAACTCACTTCATTATTCTTGCCTGGGGGAATTTCATGGACAGAGGAATCTGGTGGGCCACAGCCCATGGGGTCACAGAGAGTCAGACATGACTGAGTGATTTAGCATGTACACACACACGTAATTACACAAGATGCTGCCTCTGGGGGAGGTGGGGAGAATCTGGGTGAAGGGTACACAGGACTCCGTACTATTTTTGCAGCTTCCTCTGAGCCTGTAATTATTTCAAATAAAAATTAAAAAATATAGCATAGTGATTGCAATGGATTGAAACACTTCAGAGATAAAAGTCCATGAGTTCATGCTTAAAAAAAAAAAAACTTTCATTGGTCCTTACCAGAGATGACTAAGGCACCAACTTGCTGCTCTGGAAATTAATTTTTAAAAGGGAAATAATTAATGCCCTGTACTGTCTTTCCTGTCCAAACTGTATTTCAAGGTTGATGAGCAACATTCTTCTGTCTGTCTGGATGGACTCCAGATAATTAATGCAGAAGGAATAACAGAATCTGAAAATCACCCTTTTGCACCCTCTAAAGAGATCACGGGTGGAGACAGCATGAAATGGCTGCTGAAATCATTAGGGGAAAGGTCTGTAGAAAACTTTATAATGAAGGATCTGGATGACACCATCTGAATCCACAGATCAAACACAATGGCACTAAATGTAGGATGACCACTCATTATGAGGTCTTAATGGGCTGGCACAAGCAGCACCCAGTGCCACACATGAAGTGAAAAAAAAGTTAAAGCTAAAACTAGATCTATTAATCTACAGACGAAAAAAAAAGGAAACAGGTTGAAAGACACCACAGGAAGCAGTTGGCCAAATCCAAAATTCAGGATGTCCTACAGGACAAATCTTTGAGTTTCTGTTATCAAACCAGAGGCATGAAGAAAGAGGGAGGGAGGAAAGGACTGCTATAAAAGGAGGAAGACCTGAAGGACTGTGTTTATCTTCTGATTTAAACAAGACCAAGTACAAGAAGATGTCTTTGGGAAACTGAGGAAAGGTCAGTGCAAACTGGGTATTATTTATAGATGCTATTCTAAGGAAGCATCTTCCATTCGTCTCTCTAGATCCTTCTCTACCTTTTTCCACCCAGCCCTGAGTCTCAAGGGGTGGCAGGGTATGGGGTAGGGGAGCTGAGTTAGGTGAACCTGGAAATAAATATTCCAACAGTACCCTCCCTCCACCATTTGACTCCTTGCTGGGGCTCCCTATTGGTCAACCCAACTGGAAACCATTGACCTACCCAACTGGAAACCATTGGCCAACCCAAATGAAAACCATTGGCCATCCCAGCTGGAAACTGTTGGCCAACCCAACTGGAAATCATTGACTTACCCAACTGGAAGCCCAAGGATAAAGACTTGGCCCTTATCCTAGATTTGGCCCATACAACCTCCCTTTGGGATTGGCTCAGGCTGACTGTAACCAACTGGAGGTCACAGCTCTGGCCAAGAAGACTCTCTCTGCTACCTCTCTCCTTCCAGATTCTTGCAATCACTCCTTTCCATCACTCCCCATCCCAGGTCTCCTGATGATCATGGAGTCCCACTGTTATTAACAGAGGGATTCTAAATGATCTCTAGTGATGTTCCCACAGTCTGCCCTCTCCTTTGTAAACAACCCTTTTATACAACTCTCCTTAAATGGCCCCATTTGGGAGTTCCTTCTATAGCCTGCCAAGACATAGCATGGGTTAAAAATGGAAATTTTTTGGGACTTCCCTGGTGGTCCAGTGGCTAAGACTCCATGCTCCCAGTGCAGAGGACCCGGGTTCGATCCCTGGTCAGGGAACTGGATCCCACATGCCACAACTAAAGAGTTTGTATGCCGCCAAGTAAAGACCTGGTGCAAATAAATAAATAAATATTTTTAAAAATGGTAATTTTTTATCAGGAGAGTGAAACCCTGAACAATTAATGGGTGACATTATACGAAATCTAGGGGGATAGAGAATGCAGGTTGGGGACCTCCCTGGTGGTCCAGTGGTTAGGACTCTGAGCTTCCAATGCAAGGGGTGCAGGTTCCATTCTTGGTTGGGGAACTAAGATCCCACATGCCTTGTGGCCAAGAAGAAGAAAAAAGGAATGCAGGTTGGCAACATGATGTTGGGGCTGGTTTATGGAGGTTTATGATACAATGCCCTCCACTTGTATGTGTGTTTGGACGTTTTCAGAGAAGGACAAACTCTGCCTTAGGTTTCAAATCCTGGTCCTGCCCCTAGCAGGCGAACAAATCCTGGGGAAGGGAACATGGTGAGGTTTTTCTTTGGCAGGTGGGTGCAGTTCTTGGAAGAGAAAGGGGCGCCACCTCTCTGGGCACCTGCAGTCACACCCACTTCTTATACTCCTGGACCACGATGTAGATAATGTGCAAGCCAATGGCATTTAGGGCGTATGCGTTGATCGTGGGCTTCAGGAAGGACAAGCAGGTACTGACCAGGGTGATGGTGACGATCAGTGAGATGTACCAGGACCTGGAGAAAGAGAAGGGCTCAGCTGTGATGGGCAGGGGGAGGGTGGTTGAGGGGTATTCCTGTGGGGTTTGGGTAGTCACATGGAAATCTCATGGCTGAGATGGATGAGAAAAGTGAAGGGGTTCTGAGAAGCCCAACTGAGCTCAGAAAAAGGTCTTAAGACTCCCAGGTGGGCTCAGTATAAAAGGTCAGACGAAGGTCCCAAGGCCAAGGTAAATTCAGGCAAGAGTCTCAGGTGAGCCAGGTGGGATTAAGGAAGGAGCACCAGGGGTCCCAGAAACTATTAGGAGAGAGGTCCTGAAGGCTTGGGGTTCCCCGGTGGCTCAGTGGTAAAGAACCCACCTGCCAATGGAGGAGACCCGGGTTCCACCCCTGGGTCAAGAATATCCCCTGGAGAAGGAAATGGCAACCCAACCCAGTATCCTTGCCTGGAGAATCCCATGGACAGAGGAGCCTGGCAGGCTACAGTCCATAAGGTCGCAAAGAGCCGAACACGACTGACTGACTGACAAGCAGCAACAGCCTGGAAGGCTCAAGTGGGTAAAACAGGGTCAGGAGAGAGATTCAGATGGGTCTCAAGTCAACAAAAAGGGGGCCCAAGAAGATCCAATGGAAGATGCCAGAGAGACCAGGTGACAGACTCAGGGAAGAGGCCCCAGGTAAGCTTAGGCATGGGGTCCTGGGATGTCCTGGAGAAGGAACTGGCAACCCACTCCAGTATTCTTGCCTGGAGAAGCCCGTGGACAGAGGAGCCTGGCAGGCTACAGTCCATGGGGTCGCAAAGAGTCAGACACGACTGAGCACACATGTGCCTGGGACCCCAAAGTAGGCTCAGAAAGGCTCTGGAGAAGGTCTCAACTCTCCAGGTGGGATAAGAGGAAGAATAAGCAGGTGGGTAAGGGGACAACAGAGGACGAGATGGTTGGATGGTATCACCAACTCAAAAGACGTGAGTTTGAGCAAACCCAAGGAGATGGTGAAAGTCAGGGAAGCCTGGGGGGCTGCAGTCCATGGGGTCACAAAGAGTCAGAAATGACTGAGTGACTGAACAACAAGGGGATGACTTCCAGGGGTCCCAAGGATGCTCAAAAGAGGGGTGCCTGGAAGTCCGGTTAGGTCAGACAGGGTCAGGAAAAAGTCCTGGGGTGTTGAGGGGAGGGACTCCAAAGAGGGCCTGGAGGATAGATGGGCTCCGGTCGGATTGACAGAGGGCCGGCCCCTGCCCTACCTGTTCTGCGCAAGGAAGGTGGGGAAATAGCAGCGAGGCAACCATATGCTGTAGCCGCTGGCCAGCAGCCACAAGATAGCGATCTCATCCAGCATCTGGCCCAGAAAGCTGAGCGTCATGTGAAAGTACATGGAGAACAGTCCTGGAGGGAGAGACAAAGGCAGGTGGTCAAGGGTGTCATCCCACTTGCTCCCCACCCGCACCCCCACTGTCCCAATGTCCCCATCTACCTGTGACTGTGAAGAGAATAAAGAGCACATAAATGTAGCAGGAGCGTTTCTGGATATATGGGCGCATCAGAAATGTCATGAGGGGCCCAAAGACGAAGAAGGTGACATTGCTGAACTGGAGAAGGAAGGGGAAAACATGGTGAGGGGTTGTCAGACAGGGAAGGCCGAGCACGGTGGCCCTCAGTCATTACCCAGCTGGTTAGCAGCCATCTTTCAGGCAGTTAACCAACCCAGGGTCTAGCCATCTTTTAGCTGACCAGTCAACCACTCATTGGTAGATCCATTACTCCATCCATTACACTGTGGGCTCACTAATTCATTCAATGCACATGGTGAAGACTATCTACTAACATTTTCCTTTCAGCAACAGTGTCCCCCAGGTTTGAGCTGGGCATCCAACTACTCAACTAAAGACTATATTCCCCAGCCTTCCTCGCAGCTCACTGTGGCCTTGTGATCTGCTCTAGCCCATGGAATAGAACTGTAAATGAATCTATCAATATAACTTCCAGGTCAGTTCTTGAGAAGCTGCTTGAGCCTTGCTCTCTACTTCCTATGGACTGAAATGCAAACATAGTGGTCATGAACTGGCCTTGGCCTTGTAGACAAGGAAAGACAATGCAATACCCTAGTGACTCACTTCTAAAAAATAGCCCGAGGGGACTTCCCTGGCAGTCCAGTGGTTAAGAATCCACCTTGCAATGCAGGGGGTTTCCCTGGTAAAGAATCTGTCTGCAATACAGGCGACCTGGGTTCGATCCCTGGGTCAGGAAGATCCCCTGGAGAAGGGAATGGCTACCCACTCCAGTATTCTTGCCTGGAGAATCCCATGGACAGAGGAGCCTGTCAGGCTACAGTTCACGGGGTTGGGAAAGAATCAGACAGGACTGAGCAATTAACACCTTCACTTGCAATGCAGGGGACATGGGTTCAATTCCCAGTCAAGGAACTCAAATCCCACATGCAATTAAGCCCCCACATCTACTGAGCCTGCACACCACAAGTAGAGAGTCCATGTGCTTCAACAAAAGATCCTGCATGCCAGAACTAAGACTGTGACTAAGACTCAACTCAGCCAAATAAATAAGTACTAAAAAAGAAAAGAAATACAGGGAGCAGGGACTTCTCTAGTGGTCCAGTGGCTAAGACTCTGCGCTCCCAATGCAGGGGGTCCGAATTCTATCCTTGGTTAGAGAACTAGATTCCTCTTGCCACAACTAAAGATTCTTCATGCTGCAACTAAGACCTGAAGCAGCCAAATTATAAAAAAAAAAAAAAAATACAGAGCACAGTGGTGGGTTTGGAGAAAATCATTCACCTGACACAAGGTCAGCATCTACTAGCCTAGGTCCTGGTCACCTGTACAGGTTCCCAAGACAGAAGCCCTCCTGATTCCAGGAGAACCCAAAGCTCTCCTGGGACAATGATGGAATCAGCTCAAAGATCACCATTTAAGAGCCCAGCCTTGGCAAACTGGTTTCCCAGCCCATGGTCCCACCTGTGTCCTTGTTTTCCACGCCAAAGTCTCTGATGTTTATCAATGGACAAAGTCAAACACATCTCCAGGAGGGTCACCCAGTTCACAGCAGCTATCCTAGAACACAGAGATCCCCCCCTTCCCAACTTACCCTGTCTATATCACAAGACCTTACCCCACTGGAATAGATACCCATGCCAAAGCAGGATATCAGACTTTCTCTTTTAGGAATTTGAAACTTGGAGCAGGCACAAAGCCTGGGAGTCACCATGATCGAGTTGCATCATTGACAACTCTCTACAGAGGCCCTGGGATATTGCTGTGATATATAAGATGTGACAACCATTTTGCCACCCATGAGAAGACAAGGCTGAGAACAAAAAAGCGAATGCTTGAGGACAGTATTTGCACATCTGCTGAATCCTGCAGACCTACTGTGGGTCCCAGCCTTTTTAAAACAACTCATCTTTCCTTTTTTTTAAATTGCTATATTTTATTTATTTTTTCATTTATTTTTATTAGTTGGAGGCTTATTACTTTACAATATTGTAGTGGTTTTTGCCATACATTGACATGAATCATCCATGGATTTACATGTATTCCCCATCCTGATCCCCCCTCCCGCCCCCCCTCCCCATCCCATCCCTCTGGGTCTTCCCGGTGCACCAGCCCTGAGCACTTGTCTCATGCATCCAACCTGGACTGGCGATCTGCTTCACACTTGATAATATATATGTTTCAATGCTATTCTCTCAAATCATCCCACCCTCGCCTTCTCCCATAGAGTCCAAAAGTCTGTTCTATACATCGGAGTCTCTTTTTCTGTCTTGCATATAGGGTTATCGTTACCATCTTTCTAAATTCCATATATATGCGTTAGTATACTGTATTGGTGTTTATCTTTCTGGCTTACTTCACTCTGTATAATGGGCTCCGGTTTCATCCATCTCATTAGAACTGATTCAAATGTATTCTTTTTAATGGCTGAGTAATATTCCATTGTGTATATGTACCACAGTTTTCTTATCCATTCGTCTGCTGATGGGCATCTAGGTTGCTTCCATGTCCTGGCTATTATTAACAGTGCTGCGGTGAACATTGGGGTGCACGTGTCTCTTTCAGTTCTATTTTCCCATCTTCCCATTTTTTAACACATCTCACTATCTTTCCAATATTCTCTCTTTCCCCCTCTTGTTTGTTTCTTTGTTTGGGTTTTTGCTTAAGTTAGTTTTTTTTTAATTGAAGTATAGCTTATTTACAATGTTGTGTTAAATTCAGGTGTACAGCAAAGTGATTCAGTTATACATATTTGTATATTCAGTTATATATATTTGTTCTTTTGCAGATTCTTTTCTATTATAGGTAATTATAAAATTCTGAATGTGATTTCCTGTGCTATACAGTAGGTCCTTATTTATCTATTTCATATACAGTAGTTTGTATCTGTTAATCCCAAGCTCCTGGTGTATCCATCCTCTTTGGGAACCATAAGTTTGTTTTCTTTGTGTTTTGTAAATAAATTCACTTGTATTATTTTTCAGATTCCACACATAAGTGACATCATAATATTTGTCTCTGTCTGACTTACTTCACTTAGTATGATAATCTCTAGGTCCATCCATGTTGCTGCAAATGGCAAAGTTTCATTCTTTTTTAAAAAAAATTTTTATTTATTTATGGCTGTGCTAGGTCTTCAGTGCTGTGCGTAATGGAGGCTAGTTGTAGTGAATAGGGGCTACTCTTCAATATGTGCACAAGCTTCTCGTTGCAGTAGCTTCTCTTGTTCCTGAGCACAGGCTCTGGGTGTGTGTGCAGCTTTAGTTGCAGCACATAGGCTTAGCTGTGCCATGGCATCAGGGATCTTAGCTCCCTGATCAGGGGTCAAACCCACATCCCCTGCATTGGCAGGCAGACTCTTAACCACTGGACCACCAGGGGGGTCCTGTTTCACTTGTTTTTATGGCTGAGTAGTATTCCATTGTATATATGTTCCATGTCTTCTTTATGCATTCACCTGTCAAAGGACATTTAGGTTGTCTCCATGTCTTGGCTATTGTAACAACGCTACTATGAACACGGAGGCGCATGCATCTTTTTGAATTAGTGTTTTTATCTTTTCCAGACATATGCCCAGGAGTGGTAAGGTAGCTCTCTACAGGCTGAGCCCCATGAATCCATCAACAGTGGTATATTAGCTAGGGTTCTTTCATAGCAAGCAACAGAAAATGATTCTGGTGAACTTAAACTATAAATATAAATTGTGTGTGTGTGTGTGCACGTGTGTGGTTACTTATTTAATTGACCAAATTATTTATTCATGTATTTGTTCATTCATTCATTTATTACAAGGAGCTCAATAATTAAAGGTATTGCAGAGGACAGGAAAACCAGAAACCAGAATAGCTTTAGTATTTGGTATTTGGGATTTGGTATTTGTTAGCTTTAATAGACAATCTCTCCAGGGGCAATTTTGGGTATGAATGAAATCAACTGTGTTCAGTCCTTCTGTGCAAGCCCAAACTTCAAATTCTGGAGAGTGAGGATGTCCCTGGTGGTCCAGTGGTTAAGAATCCACTTTGCAATGCAGGGGAAGCAGGTTCAGTTCCTGATTGGGAAACTAAGATCCCACATGCCACACAGCGACTAAGCCCATGTGCCACAACCATGGAGCCCATGCATCACAACCACAGAGTCCATGAGCTGCAACGCAAGATCCCACATGCTACCACTAAGACCTGACATAGCCAAATTTAAAAAAAAAATGTCTGGAGAGTGTAGCCTGGGCCACATCTGATCCTTGGAGGAGACAACTTTGAGTGACCATCCCACCAAGACCATAACTAGGTGGTTGATGAAGGGGAAAGGGAGCCATGGATACTGAATGGGCAAAAACCCCACACTAATCTGATGTCCCCTTCATCTTCAGCCACATGCCAGCCTTTGGGGAAACCAAGCATGCCTGAAGATGCTGAGCCATCCAGCCTCTCAAACTCTTAAGCCTCCACTTAGAACACATCTGTGATTCCCATACATCAAATCCAGATTCTTTAACTTGGCTTACACACTCCCTCCATAACTACCTTTCCCCACCTTCAACTGTACAAGCCGGGTGGAAAGAATAACTCAGCTCCTCCAAAGGAGTCATACTTTACTTCTTACCTCCTGGAGTTTGCACAGACTCTTCCCACTGCCTGTAAGGCTCTCATTCCCACGCAGCCCTCTGTGCCAGCCCAACTACTCTGTATTTAGCCTGGGGATTGCTTTCTTCCTAAAGCCTTCCTAAGCCCACCAGGCAGGGTCAGGGTGGTCTTCCTTTGTGTCCCATGCAGCCCCAAGTTCCTGACCCTGGTCTCGCTGTTCTGGAACTATCTGGGTCTCCTGCTACATCTAGTCTTGAGAATAGGGATTGTGGCTTCCCCCTTCTCCATTATAACCTCAGGAGCCAGAATACAGTACAAAAAAGTCTTAATGAATGACCCAGACAACCATGATGGCATGGAGTCAAACATCCTACAGTGTGAAGCAAGCGGGCCTTAGGAACCTTTACTATGAACGAAGCTAGTGGAGGTGACGGAACTCCAGGTGAGCTATTTTAAATCCTAAAATATGCTGGTATTAAAGTGCTGCACTCAGTATGT